GCGTGCAACTTCCCCTGCCTGTCCGTTGTGGCCTGAGCATCTCTGAGCAGTTCACGTTACCACCTCCATGACTTGGCTGACACTCAGCTGGCAGGCAGGTGATCAAAGTGGGGAAGACAGCAGCATACCAGCCCTCTTGCCAGACTGCACTTGCAGTAATGGCCGGATTGGCTGTGAGGCCTGACGATAGCCATTCTGCAGAGACTACCTGCTGGGTGCATCTTGACTGCAGGTTGCTTTGGTGGGGTGGGATTGCTGTTTGGTGAAAGGGTGAAAAGTTCTGGGTTTTGAGCATGCTTCCCCCATGTATGTGCTTGCATGTGTGTATATGTGGGTTGCTATGGAAAAGTGGGGGCAGTAGTTCCCTTTTCTGGGTACTGGTAACTTCATGGTACAGCCAGATACACTGTATTTTCATGAACCTTTTAAGAGCAGAGTATTGTACTTATGCTTGGGACGCAGGTGGAGGCCCTTACCCTATCAGGGTGAGGGGAGATCCCAGAGTTTAGACTTGAGGGAATATAATAGAAATGAAAGTCTAAAATGTAACTTCCCCTCCCAGAATATGGTGGGGAAAGGGTCAAGTCTTAATTTTCAATTGATCATCACGTGTTTTCCTTTGTGCAGAAGTTCCTCATCTTGTGTGTAACGGAATCTTGTTAATTATAAATATCTGTATATTGATTCTATTGGGGAAAATGTTTTTTAATTGTAAAGTATTTTGTATAATAAAGGGGGGAGAATTAAAATTGCCAAAATGACATCTTTCTTTGTGCCTCTGTTGAAGCTGCATGCAGTGGGTGGTATAGATCTCTGAGGGTATAATTCCACTGGTTTTCAAAAGAGATCAGAGTCTCTCTTGTTGCTGTCTCCACTATTGACCCAGGTTTTGTTTTATTGATAGCTCATATGTAAATGAAGCTTAAAGGACCTCATTTTGCTGTAGCCTCAGGCTTGAGTTCTGTGAGCCAGCAGAAGACCTTCCTTGTGCCAAAAGCGCTCTCTTTTTTCCTTGCTTAGGTTTAGGGGTCAGTGAAGAATTTTTTTTTTTTTTTTTTCCTTGCCATCTGCAGCGAGGAAAGTTGTGTTACATTTTATTAGCTCTTTGAGGAACCTGACTGCTGCCATAGTCAAGACTGGGGGCTTAGGCAAGGAGCACTTCTCCGTCTACCAGGCACCTGTTTCTTCATACCTCTACCTCACAGGCTTGCTTTTCTCTCGCTACTGCAACAACCAGGAGTAGAAAGTGTGTGCAGAGAATGGTTCTTGCTGTGTATTTTCTGAGCTCTAGCTTCCCCTGTGTCTCCCATCCAGTCCTGTGGCACTGAAACAGAAATGACTGTTCTGAAATTGCTGTAATGCATGCAAAATGCTTTGCTGCTTTTGCTGTCTAAAAGGAAGGGAAACACTGCTTTTGCGTCCTGCTCACACACACTGCTCCTGGTCAGAGAGGTACCTTCTGTTTTTTACCGGTCTCAGTCCTTCTGTCAAATTCTTCTCTGCTCAGCAAAATAAAACATTAGTGCCTATACTGTTCCTCACCTGCTCTCCCTCTCACCACTGATTTCTTTGCTGCACCACATTTCTCTCTGTTCACACTCCTGTTGTCACTGCTTGGCATTCCCTTTTTCTCATCCTCAAGTGCCATTAATGCTTCTCCTCGGCTTCCTAGTTGTCTCAATTTCCCTTGCCATTTGGCTTAATCTCTTGACTTCGTGCTTGGTGTGTTTCCCTGTCACGCATGCCCTGCTGTCACTGCAGCTGGAGTGGACTGTCAGCATTTGTTCTGTTTCCCTGTAAATTATGCTCACTTTCTTCCCTCCCTCCCACCTTAACCATCTCACAGAATCTGTGCTACCTTTGCTGAGGCCAGATCTTCATCTAGACACTAGTCCCAGGGCTGAGTAAAAATTGAGCTGCCTCTGTCCAGACCATGTTTAACCTTGTCCTGTTAAGAACTGTCTTCTGAAACAGAGTGTTGGTGCAGGGAACAGCAGCTGGCTGATTGTATCTGCATTCTGGTTCCAGCTCACACCTTTTGCAACCCTGTCTCTGTCCACCTCCAAACAAGGCACGTGCTGGGGCTCTGTAAGAATCTTGATCCTAGTTTGCATTTCCAGCTACATCCACATCTTCTGTTGCCAAGCCCTGCTCTACAGCAGGGGTGGGTAGCAGGTACTGAGCGTTTTAGAATGACAGAAAGGTGAAGGCAGTGAGGGATGTTTGGAGGTCCCTAATCCAACCTCCTGCTCACAACAGCCCTGACTTGAATGCTAGATCATGTAGCTGAGGGTCTCATAAATGATCGTGCTCTGCAATTTTCATACTTTCTGTACTTTCTCCTCTTGTAATTTCTCTAATGTACAGAACAGTGGCAGGGCCTGTCATCACTAAAAGCATGTGAGGGATCCCAGCAGGCGCTTCTTTGTTCTTTACCAAATCCATGGGCATCACAGGACACAAACTACTTTTTTCATAGGGCACTGGTTGTATGGTCGAAGGGGATGGTTCAGTACATGTTCTTCCACCCACGCTTCTTGCTATGTTTCTGCCGTATTTCTTCTTTCATTGTTTTATTTATTTGCTGCTTAAGGCCCCAAGAAGTCTTAGAATCTTTTTGTCTATTCATGTCGGCCTTACTCCACACCCAGCTGGTAGGTACCAGCACATGAAAATGTGTGTTTTGGGATCCTTATACAGCTAGCCACAGTGCTCCTCACTAGCTTCCGTACTAGTCAAGAAGGTGGGTGTACTGCTATTGTAATACTCTGGTTTACCACTGCAGTTTCCTCATCTTGAGCTGCTGAGCATCATCATGATCCTGGGTTTTCTTGAGTTACAACCCCCTGATCTCTTGTTTTGGGTCCCAGGCTCCTACCACCTTTGCCTGTGTATGCTGAAGTCCTTCCAGTCTGGAAGGGGCTCAGACCAATCCTTCTCTAGAGGAAGTTCATGGAAAAGAGTGGATGTTTATGG